TGGACTGTGGTTATCACCCCACTATGAGAGGGCACAGGTGGGTCTCTGAACTTGCTGGCTGACCAGCCTAGACCAGTTGGTAAGCACAGGTCAGTGAGAGACCCTGTCTCAATAATGAACAAACAAAACCACCATGGGGGACAACATGTAATAAGTAAGATTCTTCTGTCTTAGTATAGCTAAGAAATCAACAATAATATTGTTATTGGAAATAACAATGTTTTAATCATGAGTCAAAGAAACTACAGTAGAGATGAAATATTTTAACTGATTATAAATATATGATATCAATAATAATAAGATAAAATAATAAGATGGCAAGCCATAATCACATGGAAACTTATAGCTAAAATGCATTTACTAAAAAGGGGGGGGGAGCCTGAAAACTATGTTCAACATGCTCAATATGGGGAGGTGGGCAGTGATTTAAGCTCAAAGAAAATTTTAAGCAATCTAGAAATTATTTCTTAAAGTACACTATCAAAACACTAACAAAATGGTATAATCTCTTAGCAAGACTGACAAATTTCCAATAAAATAGAAAATTCACAAATGACCAATAACAGGAATAGACTGGGGATAATCTTCCAGATCCTCAGACTTCAAACAATGATCACAAATGGTCACCACAGCTAATCTGGATAATCTGCGTTTCTGTTTTCATCACTAGAGCAAATGACCTGGCCGCTCCATCTCATAATGTTTGTATCTTTGGAGCATGGTACCTGGCACAGGACAGCTTCTCAGTAAATGTTTGATGACTGACCTGGCTCCAGGAAGAACTTATACGAAGATGAAGAGATTCCACATCCCCAAGTTCCTGAAAGAGCAACAGCTCGACTCAAGAGCGCTACTAGTTCTTTCTAGAGAGTTCACCCAAATTTACTAGTTATTTTGAAGTTTTTGTTTAACAGAGAAGGAAGGAGAAACAAAGTTTAGCCACTATCCGAAGTCACTCTTGGTTATGAGCACCTATTGATATGGTAATTCACCGTTCAGTAAAGCTTCAGTGGCAGTTGTTTTGTTATTTTGTTTTGTTTCAGACCTGGAAAGAACTCCAGCAGCAAACTAGAGAGGCTTGAATTTCTCCCAGCCCTTTTCTTTACCACCCAATAGCTTTTAATATTTTAATAACTGACTTTCAAATAAGAGGGATTACTTATCTCAAAGTCACCTGAGGGTTATTTTCTGACGAGGGTTTACCATATGAAATGAGTGTATTGGGAAACAGCTATCGTACATACCTGGAACTGAACTAGAGTCAGGGAGTAGGGGCAGTGACTAACACCCTAAAAGAACTCCCAGAAAGAACAAGGTGAAAACAGCCAAGTAACTCCCATGGAGCATTGGCTAACCCAATATCAGCCCCACAGGACTGCACTGAGCCCTCTTCATCTCTCCCCAGCCTCTGCCAGAAGGAATGCTGACAAAGTACCAAGGGTAATTAACAGGAAGTGGTAAGTGTTGTCAAACAGGCAGAAGCAAGAGTAAAGGCTGATACTTGTGTGTGTGTGTGTCCCATAATCTTAAACTGTATTGTACAGTATCAGGAGGTGTGGCCTCTGGCAGGGGGTCAGGCCATGGGAGTAAAGCCCCCACTAAACTCTCCACAGTCCTCTCCTTGGGGTGTAGCAGGAAGATGCTGCACAGCTGGAAGCACCCCAACGATCAGTCCTGATCTTGGAGCATCACCAGCTGTTCAGGCTTATTACAGAAGCTTGAATAGATGAAGTCAAGCATCAATACAGAACAGAAAAGGCAAAAAGAACTGAAGAATTAACTCCAGGAAGCTTTTCCAAAGAGGAAGCCTCAGACAGCCCGTGCAGGATTACAGAATTCTGTGGAGATAACCTGGTAGGACAGACGGCCTGAACACTTCCTAGCACCATACCAACAACCTCTGATAAGGGGCTTCCATGTTCCTCACTGTAGACATGAGGAAGTAGAACTTAAAGTTAAGTGTCTTGTTCTACACGCAAGCCCATCTGTGAGAGGCAGAGCCAAGGTCTAAACCCCTTTTGCCTAAGTCTCTTAAAAGACTCTTGAAAGTCCTAACCTGTGCTCAGACAGGGACAGGAATTCTAAGGGCCAACCCCCGTAGAATCACAGAAGCCAAGGCAGGAGGGGAAAGACTGGGGAGGGGAGGGCAGCATCTTAGTGGGCGGCTAAAGTGAAGCCTGGCTGTGACTCCAGACGGAGCACAGGGAAGGCAGTACCTTCAAGAAAGCAGGGTCTCTGCAGACACCACACCGGGAGCCACAGTGTTCACCTGGGCACTCATGGTCTGGACGCTGCTCACAATAATTAAACCGAAAAGATCGCAAGCCTTGGAATATGAGCATAGTGGCCATAAAAAATACAGACTGAGAACATTTCCAAGTGGAGGGCAAACAGGTAGCCTACCACACATAAGAACTCCAAAGTGACTTCAATACACTTGGCAAGACAACAGATTTTTTTCCTTCTGTCCCTTTTGTACTTCCTGCCTTAGTTTATGTCAGAAGCTAACTGGCCTTATCAGTTTAAAGCGCAACATAAAAACATGAGTCAGCACACAGAGATTTCCTTCCCTCCTGTGCAAATGCAAACATTTCACACTGACCAAAAAAAAAAAGAAAGTCCAGTGAAGAACACTGCAACCAACCCAGTCACCTCATCACAAGCTTAAATTTACTTGAAGAGAAAAAATATTCTAAACTGAAAAGGGGGAAAAATAATTCACACCAAGATGTTCATAATAGACTTACTTATTGCTGGAAAACAGCTATGCATACATCCACAGTGTAGACTGTTATCAGCCGTGAACTTCTGCTCAGAAACTCCACTTATAGAACACTACGCAGAGCAAGTGGGCTACAGAGAGGGACGACGTGAGTCTGCCAACAGCAAACAGCAGCCAGAGTTTACAGAACGGTGTCCCCACGTCCAGAACGATGTCCCCACGTCCAGAACGGTGTCCCCTCATCCAGAATGGTCTCCCCCACGTCCCCAAGTGTTCCAATCAGTCTTTACAAAAGGTTCTGAAACTTCATTATTCGAGAATATTTGCTAATCGAACAACACACACATACATAGGTGCAACAGATATCACACACACACACACACACACACATTCAGGAATTGATACTGTCTATATTGTACACTAAGAAGTCAGATGGCTGAGAGGAGGCAGGAGAGACAGACAGTTCAGCAGTTCCGAGCTGGTGCTTTTTTGCAGAACCCAGAGTTTTGTCTCAGATACTCACATCCAGTGGTTCACAACTGACAATCTCAGCCTCAGGGAAATCCAATGTCTCTAGCCTCAAGCCTCTGTGGGTACCTGCGCTCACATGCATACCCCCACCCCATAACTGGACTGACAGTGTGATCCAGCTCCAGAAGTAATACAGATAATGTAAAAGATGGTTCTTAATTCAGAACTTCTCTTATGAAGTCTCAGCCACAAGAAGGATTTCAATGAGTACTGCTGGAAGCTCAGATATTACGATATTCATTTTTAAATGGCTAACTTTGAAACTTATGTGGCCTTATGTTAAAAGGGGTGGGTTTTACATACTCTCAATTCCTTCATAATTTGCTTTGTGTCAGAGGAAACTACATCAGCCAATTGCACAATGGACACTTTCCTTGTCTGTGCCTCATCTAGTAAAGAAACATGTAATTACCTAATTGTGTAAACACAGGCAAAATGCAGTCTCTGCATCAATGCCTCGAATTCCTTCAGAAACTTTGAACAGTCACTCTAGCTTGTATCTAAAGACACAGCTGAGCCTCCGAATCTATGAGTTGTATCTGTGGATTCAACCAACAGTTGATAGTTTAAGAAAATTGATCGTGGACCGGCAAGACGGTGGTGTGGGTAAAAGTGCTTGCCCCCAACAAGCACTGAGTTTGACCCCTGAGCCCATGTAGAAGTGGAAGGAAAAAACCAACCACACACACGCAGACACACACACCATGCACACACGGACACACATTAGAATGTGTGTGCATGGAACATTCACACTTTCTTTGAACAACAGAGCAGAGCCCTTTACAAGCATCCTTACTGAATTAGATGCTGGGTGTAACCAAGAGCTGATGTGAATGGCCCAGGAAGCTGTGCAGTTTGCAGAGGTTTACAGACTCCTCTGAACCCTGGACTCTGAGATCCGCACAGACGTAAAGGCCTGCCTAGAC